GTCGGCTAGCTTCGGCCCCAGGACCCCTTCGGTTCAGTAGAACCGAAGGGGTGCTGTACGGGCTATTCACAATAGCACGTACAGCTCCCGATCATGGCCGAATCAGTATTGATTTAGTGTTTGTGCTCTGCGCTCCATCCTGACTGCTTGACCCCTCCCATCTGTCATTGGAGCCAAGCTCTCCTCCCTGCACCGCCCCACTCGACCTCCTGACATGTCTCTTCTCCCTGCTGGTCACCAGCTCTGTGTCCCCACCGATCCCTGCTGCCTCTGTCGACACAGGCGGAGGAGAGCAGTGGGGATTGGAAGGAAAAAAGAGCGCAGCATGCAGCCGGCTCCCAGAGGAAAGAGCTGCAGAGTGGCAGGAACAGCAATGGTAGGCAATGGAGGAGGGGTGTGTGTGACTCATTCTGAACCGAATAGCTGTCATCAGTGGCTGGCAACTATTGAAAAGCTGGATGACAGCTATTCATTTACAGAGGAAAGTCAGGGAAAGCCTTCCACTATAAGTTTATGGTCACTGAAGCGGCCATGAGCTTATAGCAGAAGGCTGAATGCCAGCGACGTAAGGCATACTGGCGTTGTTCCAACGTATGCCTTATGTCATTGGCAGGGAAAGAGTTAAAGGAAACTGTTAACATAGAAAATGCAGGAACTGCCATTGCTGGTGTATTCTCTACGAAGTTTGATTTTTTTTCCCTTTAACAACAATCAGAAAGACTTGTGGGGAACGGGGCTGTTTTTTGCCTTAATGCAGAGAATGTGTCTGGAGAGTTTGAAAACACCTGATGTGTGTTTACAATGGAGGGCTGACATGCTGCCAAAATTGTGTCTCCACATAAAAAAAAGCCAAGATTTCTGTGCCTCTGTTGTGAATGTCTCCACAATGCCTTCAGCTACAGAGGTGAATGAGGGCTTGTTTAAAATTGATTTGACTGCTTATTTAAAATGTCAATATTTTAGTGTGCATAGTATGCACACAGGTTCACAGAGCATATGTAGACAGGTGTGGTTGTCAAACATTGCCTTTTGCATTTGAACACAATGCTGTTCAACCACATGCATTCCATTGCAAAACACAGCATAAGGCTGTCCCTGACCTGCATGGTCTGCAATGCATATGCATTTTAAGAGGACCTGCTGCTTACAAAAATTGAAAAGCCACACAAAGCAGGTCCAGCGCACCTTCAGAACTGTCATCCAAACTACATAATTGAAGAAAATGGGAATCTACAAATACACATGAAACTCAGAAAAACAATGCCAACTGACACAAGCCCTAATGCTCCCCTCTAATCTGCACAACAAAATTCATCCAAAATGAAGTCATTTTGACTGAGGCACAATGCTGTAAAAAGAAAACATCCAGTACAGGAAAAATACAGGAACTCAATTACTCTTCTTTCAGCTTACTATACTGGGAAGGTGTCTGGCAGCAATAAGTATAACACAGCTTGGTACACATACGCCACAATGTTCTAGCTGGAGTTAATATTCATATTCTTGCAAGTAAAATTAAACTTGAACACCACATTAAAAGTCCATTAAGATTTTGGCAGGCACAATGTTATTCTACTCCAGGTTTAAAAGCATAAACTGAACAGAGCATTCAACTCTCACATGGCAAGATTATTTCTATCTGCTGAGCATGTGTCATTGTTTTCTGCTTTATTTTCCATTTCTCAATAGGAACTAATACATTATTGCACAAATATTCACAACACGCTACATCCAAATTTGCACACTGTTTGTAAGAACAATGGCAGCATTAGATGCATTTTACTGTGGTGGTGCTTGTGCGAGTCCACAAACATGACCATTCTGTGTAATGTCACCCAAAGGGTTGTACTGGGATATCTGCTGTATGCTTTCACTCTCTATTAATGCGAGCAGGAATCTTCTAGGCCAGTCTGTAGCTATGGCTAGACTCTTCACAAAAGTACAATTTATGGAGCTGTAGCCACCTTGCCTTAAGTGGGGTGACTCCTTAAATGTAGTTCTGTTGGACTGTATCCAGTCTAGCTGATTACATAGTCTGTATTCATCTGTTTTTTCCTAAGTGTTCTGTTATTGATTGCATTTGCCTGCTGCTGGGTGTGACCTTGCCACAGAGAAAGCAAGCAATAATGGGGCATTATGGATATCTATGTCTCTCCAGCCAATCACTAGGAGTTTCATGGCCAGTGGTGCATGCTGAGGGAGGACGTACATATCAGAGGTTGGCTATGTGTTTTGTCTTTATTGGCCCTCCTGGTATGAACAAAAAAGTGCCAGAAGGGACTGCTCAGCCAGAATACACCGATATGATCAAGAGTATAATCAGAACAAAATCTGTTAAAAAATAGAAGCAAATTTGTAGAAAAGTCTGCAGGATGCTGCCCCAAACCAGCCAGGGAGACTGCAAAATCTAGGGAAAAAACACAAACAAGGGGCGCCTTTCCTGGTGCAGACAAATTTATTAAGAACAAGATCAAAGGTAGATATAAAACATACTCACAAAGATCGGCATGATTATGGTATAGAAAGTAGGTGCATGGACCCAAGAGAAAGTCTATGAAAGCTGCACAGCCGTGTCTGTGTGTCAGCAGAAGAGACTGTGTGATGACGCGTTTCCGGGGTCACGCCCCCTTCATCAGAATCTGATGAAACGCGTCATCACACAGTCTCTTCTGCTGACACACAGACACGGCTGTGCAGCTTTCATAGACTTTCTCTTGGGTCCATGCACCTACTTTTTATACCATAATCATGCCGATCTTTATGAGTATGTTTTATATCTACCTTTGATCTTGTTCTTAATAAATTTGTCTGCACCAGGAAAGGCGCCCCTTGTTTGTGTTTTTTCCCTTTATTGGCCCTCCTGCCTGGGGGAAGGTGCGTGCAATGTGAACTGTTTGACCAGGCCTGAAGTTTGCAGGTGGTCAGGTGTGGACCCAGTCGGGGTCAGGAATTGATCCTGGGATGAAGACCAAGGGAAGAACCTTTTCTGCTGGAGGTGCCGAAGGAGCCAATATGGGCTTGGACCTCAGAGAGAAGTCTGGTGTCTCACCCAATGTCTGCCAACCAGCTATGGTGCTGTAACCGCATTCTCAGTTTAAAGGCCCTGTACAATGTGAAGGTGGAAAGCATTTGTTGAGTCTGGAGTTCTGTGTTCCTTAGATGTCTGCAGCCCTAACCCTCCCTCCCGTTTGTCGTTAATGGAATAAAGCATTAGAAAAATCTTTAAAGTGACTGGCGCCCAATGTTACTTCTACATCCTACATACCGGCTAAGGACTCATCCCTGAGGGCCTGTTCACACGACGTCCGTTTTGTGTGCTGACCAGCTCTGTACGCTGCTGCACTCAAAATGCATCCCAATGTATCCCTATGTGTTTTATGGGCTCCAGTTCTCACGTTCAAAAACGTGGCAAAAACGCACTGCATCCGTCTGCAGATCCGCACCTGATCAGGACCTGATATCATGTGAATAGGCCCTGAGGTGAAATGTCAGCCCCTCCTGCCCCTGAAGTCAGTGGGTGCTACACATCCATTTCAAGAGTAATCAAAAAGCAGAAAGGAACTCACTAACCAAATACCATTAGCAGACGAGCTAATAGCTAACAGGCCAAACCTCATCAAACTTCAAAGCTGGGCAATATATGGAATAAAACATGCTTTGCTTAATAGAGGGTTTTCTCCTTTCTGGTACCCATCGTGAGACAGACTCACTAAGGGTACCAGAAACTCTTAGTTAACCCTTAGTCAGAACTGTCAAATATTATGTAGAAGAATGACAAAGAAAGACAGTTAACATTACTGTGGGCATTTCACAACATAAATTGCTGCTGTCCAGGGAAACCTTGATTGTGATGAATGAATGATCTGATGCAATGGGATCTCCAAAATCCGCAAGAAAGCTCACAGGGCCTTATGAGCTTGCTTGCATTATGTGCCAAACAGATCAAGGCATTCTGAGATGATTGCTATGCATCTGAAACTTTGAAAACTGGAAACAATTATAAAAAACCTGCTGGTTTCTGAGATCCCATTGCATAGGACCATTTTTCTGTATTCTGGTTACAGCTGGCATGTTTAGTAGCAACATATGGCCTATATACCTGTTTCTAATGCAAAAGAGATATTTGTAAACATAATCACTGTTGGCTTCTTGCTGTCACTCGCATACGTAAATCCTAATTTTGTCTCAAAGTGTTGTTACTAAGAGCTAGTTCACACCAACAGAGTATTGAAGAGTGTTGGGTAGCATTGGGCAGCATTGCCCATTGCAATCCCAAAGCCAGAACAAAGCAATTTCTTATTTGTCCTCTATGGCTTCCATTCACACCAACACACTTCATTGGTGTACACTGAAAAAAAAAAGATGTTGCATTTTTGTGCAGTGCAGATGGTGGTGACAGGTACTCTTTAAGGTGATGCTGGGGGTCCAAAAGACCCCCAGTGTCACCTTTACACTCCAAATAAGCTATTGAAGTGCAGATCGCACTTCAATAGCTTATAGCTGGGCTTCAGGAGCCCAGCACTGACAGCTATGGGACCGGAAGTGATGCAATTTGCATCGCTCCTGGTCCCATAGAACGGGGAGGGGATCGACGAACAGAGGTTCATCCATCTCCTCCCCAGCTCCCCGCCGACACCAGAGAGGCCGGTCCTAGGCCCGTAGGAGAGGCAGCGGAGCCCGGGAAGCACAGCAGGGGTGTCGGCTGGGGGGGTTACCCTTAGCCGGGTCATAGGAGCAATCGCTTCTATTGTGAAGCCGACAGTCGGCTTTACAAGTTTAAACAGAGTCCCATTCGGCTTTTGCCGTTTAAACAGCCCTGATGCTAGCGACGTACACGAGCACTGGTAGTACACTAGCACTACACTGCGCTAGCACTACACTGCATGCCGTCAGTCGTGAAGGGGTTAAATGACAACACCACTGAAGCCTTTCACAGACATAGCTTAGTAGTTTACAAGTTAAACCCCATACATACACCTGCAGTTCTCATATAGACTCACCTGCAATGTCACACAGTTCAGCATCCGAGGCATTGGCTAGGGCTTCTTCCAGTTCTGGCTCCAAAGTGACACTTTCTAAAACTGGGTCAATTGGCTTGTGTTTTGGTATCCATGGTTTTCCTTAAAATAGGAAGAATGTCAGAGTTACATTTTCAAGTAAATAGTATGCCATAGGATGAATAACACAGTATATAATGTATGCTAATATACTGTATATTTATACAGTGCATTCAGAAAGTATTCAGACCCCCTTCACTTTTTTCAATGTTGTTATGTTGCAGCCTGATACTACAGTTGTTTACATTCTTTCTTTTCCTCATTAATCTACACTCAGTATCCCATAATGACAAAGTGAAAATAGAATTTTAGAAATGTCTGTGAATTTATTAAAAAGAGAAAAGTGAAATATCACATGTACTTAAGTATTCAGACCCTTTACTCAGTACATTGTTGAAGCACCTTTGGCGGCAATTACAGCCTCAGGTCTTTTTGGGTATGACAAGCTTGGCACACCTGGATTGGGGGGTTTTCTGCCATTCTTCTTTGCAAATCCTCTCAAGCACAGTCAGGTTGGATGGGGACCATCGGTGGACAGCCATTTTGAGGTCTCTACAGAGATGTTCAATAGGGCTCAAGTCAGGGCTCTGGTTGGGCCACTCTACGACATTCACAGAGTTGTCCCCAAGCCACTTCTGTGTTGTCTTGGTTGTGTGCTTAGGATCGTTGTCATAATGGAAGGTGAACCTTTGGCCCAGTCTGAGGTCCTGAGCGCTGTGAAACAGGTTTTCATTGAGGATATATGTACTTTTCCCCATTCAGTTTTCCCTCAACACTAACCAGTCAACCAGTCCCTGCTGCTGAAAAACACCCCCACAGTATGATGCTGCCACCACCATGCTTTATTCTTGGGATGGTATTGGGCAGGTGATGAGTGGTGCCTGGTTTCCTCCAGACATAATGTTCAGAATGGAGACCAAACAGTTCAATCTTGGTTTCATCAGACCAGAGAATCTTGTTCCTCACAAATGTTTTTTTGCAAACTCCAATCGGGCTTTCATGTGTTTTTCACTGAGAGGCTTCTTTATACAGCTATACAGTACATCTAAATGGATGCTAATATATCTTTAAACTCAAGCTTCAAGCTTGGCCAACTAGATTTGTCACAGATTTGTCACAGACATTCTTGCACACTGAAACATGTAAAAGAATCCATGTTTTATTATATTGTTGCATCAGGCTACCATCATACACTGACAGATACAGATTCCCCATCTTGAGAACAGGATTTAGAACGGACATGGAAGTGGTTATTACACCATATTGGTGGACGATATCTGAAGATTAAGTATAAAATAGAACCTTCACCTCAATAAAAGGCATCCTAGCTTGAAATTAGGTTTCAACAGATTTGGTCACATAGGCAGATGTGTGTCACTCACTGTTAGTGTTTATAAAGGGAGTGCAGACTAGTGCATATAGAAGAGGTTGCCCTTGGAGATGCCACTTACCCCTCTGTGTAATCACAGCAGTGGATCTTGGTGCTCCAAGCCAAAGTAACTAAATCCACTAAATTCAGAAAAAAAGAGAATACAGGACACTCACAGCAATACAGAATACAGGACACTCACAGCAAATCACTCTTCTTTATTGTATTAAAAAAACTTTATTACTAATACTAAAAACAGATAAACCCATCTGGCCAATGATCGTTTCACATGCTGGACGCACGCTTTCCCAAGGCAACTGTATCTCAACTTGAGCCAAGTGCCTTGCGAAAGCATACATCCTGCATGAGAAGCGGTCACTGGCCAGAAGGTTTCATCTGTTTTTAGTCTTTGTCACTAGTTTTGACACATTAAAGGACAGTAATTTGAAGTGAGTGCCCTGAATTCCCTTTTTCTGGTCACACAGGTACATGGACAAATTGATCCAATCCAATCACTCAAGTAAAATCTGTGGATGATGATGAGAACAATGTAGATGGTTGCATGATGACTTCATCCACACATCCACACAGATGAGGCCAAAATGAATCAAGCAGGACTGTGGACCATGCTTCATACATGCCCCACTTACCTGACAATGAAGTCTAAGGCAACCATATTGGTCAGGAAATTATCTCATGTGTGGCTAGGATAAATATGTCTTCATTTACAGACAACAGTCTTATATAAATACACCCAGAGGCTATTTCTTAAATACAAATATAACACACTGCTGCCACTAAACTTTTTGATGCATTATATAGTCTTTCTACAGTTAAATCTCATGAGGGAAAAGCTAAAACAACATCTTGATTCCTAAAGAAGACACATGGTCATCTAATAAAATATTCTCAGTATTGGTTGTTTTCCATGATGCTGGTTTTACATATAAATTGGTTATTAAGCCCTATCCTATTCAGAACTTGGTGACTTCTCTGTCTATTATTAGAAGCACTGATGTCATCCTGTTATCATACTTCTGATCCTTCCAAAGATTTGTTATGAGATGTACATGGCATAACATTAGCTGGTTATTATTAGTTGCATGCTCCTTTGTATTTCCAGTTCCAGAATTGAAATTCATAAAGTGGCTAAAGCACATTTACAGTAAGTGTAAAGCTTCAGTTTACAATAGGGATGTCCTAATACCGATACTAGTATTGGTACCGATACACGGCATATTCACAAGTACTTGTACTCGTGAATAGTAACCGGCTCGGGCGTGTTTGCAGCTCCACGTGCCCAGCCCGCCAGGAAGCTGACAGTATGCAGCGCCAATCACAGGCACTGAGACATTTCCCGATCTCTGCAGCTGCGGACCGGGAACATGTCTCAGTACCTGTGATTGGCGCTGCACGCTGGGTCAGGAGAAGAGGCGATTAAGGGGGGACATGATCACAGACGTATAAATACATAAATGGTCCATATAGTGAGCTTGGTGCCAAATTATTCACTTTAAGGTCACTGCAAAGGACAAGGGGGCACTATTTGTGTCTGGACGAAAAGAGGTTTAACCTTTGCATACGGAAAGGATTCTTCACAGTTAGAGCTGTGAAAATGTGGAATAGACTCCCCCAGCAACTAGTTCTAGCTAGCTCAGTTAATTGTTTTAAAAAAAGAAAATCTGGATGTATTCCTAAATGCACAGAATATTACTGGGTATTGAGTTCTTAGAGGTATATTAGGCATTAGAGATTGTTGATCCAGGGAATATCCAATTGCCTTATGGGATCAGGAAGGAAGTTTTTTCCCCTGTTGGAACAATTTCAACCATGCTTAATAGTGGGTTTTTTTTGTCTTCCTCTGGATCAATAGTGGGTAATTGTGGGCATAGCATTCTGTTTTAGGTTTGTCCTCTTTTCTTTTCTACTCTTATAAACTCTATAGGTTGAACTCGATGGACTTGTGTCTCTTTTCAACCTGACTAACTATGTAAGTGTGTGTGTGTGTGTGTATTGAGTTGGTAAATGCCTGGAGTTCAGTCTAAGGTTTTAAAAAAACGTTATTTTCTGTATAGTTGGTAATCATCTATGTTTAATGGAACAGTTTACCAGACAGCATCTGTCTGGTTGAAAACAATCAAATCTCTACTGTCTTTAATGACTGGAAATACCCACAATGCTTTTATCCAAATGCTCTAACTTCCCAGGTGTTACGTCAAGTGAGGGAGCTTTGGAGTAGCAATTTTAATATACATGGCTAGTTACGTTTTCACTCAAAATAACAATGCGATTTGGTAAGGCCCCTTTCACACGAGCAGGCCGATTGAGTCCACGTGTCAGTTTTTCAGCTGGACCCGATCGGACACAGTCTATGGGCAGCCGTGTGCAAATGGAAACGGCTTCCCGGGTAATTAGCATCGAGCCAGCCAAACAGCCGCCTCCTTGCTGACTGGAAGCCGGGAGGTACGTCATTACTCACCGTCCAGCTTCCTGATTGGCTGGGAAGCCGACTCAATGCTGATTGGCTGGGAAGCCGGTTTTCAGACCAATCACAATCGAGCTGGCCAAACAACATGGAGCCGGCTTCAAGGGAAAACAGGAAGTCGGGCAACATGCCATTACATGCCGTCCGGGTTCCTGATTGCCCGGGAAGTCGGCTCCTTGCCAGCGGAAGCACCAGTATCGGTACTTGGTATCGGCGAGTACCGAAAGTGAAATATCGGTACTCGTACTCAATACCGAGAAACCAGTATCTGTGCATCCCTAGTTAATGCACATCTTAATATTCCTGTAATATAGTTTAAAAAGTAAACGTTTTTTGGCTTTCTTCAAGCCTTCACCCAGATGTTACTAAGTGCTGTTAGAAATTTCTGTTTTATTTTTAGAGATTTTAAGTTTTTAGCGTCATCACTGTATCTGCCGAGGTTTATCACATGAGTCTTTATCTGCTGATGCCTGGCCTAATGCAGATTACACTGAATGAATACTGGATGAATGAAATGAACTTTGTTTTACACAGAAAAATTATAATTTATCAAGATGTCACAGAGGGGAACAATAAAAGAGTGATTCTAGCCATACACGGCTCACATTTCTGCTGAATCTCCAAAACTTTGAGCCATGTGTGGCCCTATCGGCACTACTGGGCTCAACAAACTTCGATTACAAAATTGAAGGAGGTGGGTGGAAAATTGTCAGCTGAACAGTGACTGCATCCAATTCATTCGATTTGGGTATAAATGGAGTTTCCTGAACATAAACCACATTCACTGTGAGAAATTTGTTTGTTCTCGAAACATTTTCCATCCTGCTCTTTTAAACCATCACAACTAGGGTTGCACAGATACCAAGTACAGTACTCGGTACAAGTACGAGTACATGTACCGATACTTTTGAGCTCCAAGACTACACTAGAGAAAAATTCCAAAAATTAGGAGGCAGTTGTCATTTGTAAGGAGCCCACGGAGCTCCTGGGATTTGTACATCTCTGTTTTAATGTACGATTTTGTTTTTATAAATATAAATAAAGGGATGCACAGATACCAGTTTTGTGAGTGTGAGTACTGGTACTTGCCGAGTACTTACAAGTACGAGTACTGGTACATTTTTGTTTATTGTCATGTGACAGTTTTTCTAAAACAATACAGACTAATGATTTCAGTAGAGTTGTGGTGCGCCAGAGCCAGGTCCCCGCTGCAACCCTGGTAGTTCTCATGAAAATGCCAAGTATCTGCACTGGTACTCGAAAAGTATCTGTGCATCCCTAATCACAACAGTCAAAATGTATTGCCGATTTGAACCCACCAACTACTGGAAAATTGAACGAACGGTCTAGAAAACAAAATTCTAACTGTGTATACCAGGTTTAAGTCTTTGAAAGTTATGTCAGGAAACTTTTCAAGCGCATTTAAATGTAAGAGAAGAATGCAGTATCACATGAGGACTGTGGGATTGTCCAGATAAGAGAAACCGAGCACATAGCAAGGAGGCAGGAATGTTACATAGTGTCTATTTCTGGCCTGTCCCTAAATCAAGTCATGAAAGACTGAGTGACTGCCAGACATGAGAACAAAGGGGCAGCCATTTTTTATAAAATTACCACTTACCAAAGCCAAATATAACCCACTCATCAGAGATGAATTTAGCAACCACTCACTTGCACTAAATCTAACCTTTATCGGCTTATTAACACATTAATCTTGTAAGGGATTGAACAGCTGTGATGGTAAAGCCACCTACTCATTCACAACAAATGTCACTGTTCTCTACCATGACTTTGATTACTTATAAATGGCACCGAAAAACAATGTGATATGACTCTTATGCAAGACGCTGCAAAAGCTGTCCATAAATGATTTTATTTTCATTTGTCATATGACATAATAATAATACAGCAGTTTTGAAAATCAGGTAGTGCATTGGTTAAAAAAACAATAATGTAGAGATGGTTGCCAAAGTATCCATTATTGTTTGAAATCTTTGAAAATTAGGAATCAACCACAGGCATTATTCTCAATTTTCCTAAGGGAACACCTGGCTTTAATGCATTCTGAGTCACTGACCTGTTTTGACTTTAAAATAGAACTGGAGCCAAAACATTTTTTAGTTTTGAATAGAGTAAGGGAAGGTTCTAACCTCTGTCAGCTTTTTTATCATGTGTGTCCAATGGGGAGACTTCCTTAAAATTCCTGTCCAATAGCCTCAACAGGAATCGATCCCTCCAAAGAGAGGGAAATTCCTGTTGGTCAGTAGTGTCACAAGAACTAGTGTCCCCCACTGGAAGATTTCCCATCTATTCCAATTCTGGTCAGCACCCAAAATTTGGGATTTCCCTTCATTTTCCATGATAATGGTCAACAGCACAAATGCAGAGGGTGAATCTCCCTAACAGAAACACAGACAACAATAAAAACCTGACAAGTATTCTAATCCGGCAAGACAGGGGACCAAAATGGAGTTACGCTGACCAATAATAATATATATAATCTAGTATACCAGTCTCCAGGGTTTCAACAAAACTATTCAAAATATGAAGTGTCCCAAGATAATAGAAATCCCTTACTCGGAGCTGGTTCAGTAAAGAGGTAGAAAATAAGTAATTTAACAATTTGAATATTTAATCGTAGAAAAACTTAAACAATACATCCACAACAAGACAGTTAAAAACAATTAAAAAACTTCCCTAGGGTAAGCAGTAGTTTAGAAATCATGGGTGGTCTGCAAACCAACTGGTATAATATAAAGGTTTAGGCAGACACCTACTAAGTATATCATGTACGGATACAATGTATCCCAGGTTACTCACAGCTCATGTAGCTCAGGGAGCTCAGGAAGAGACAGTCCTCCTCGAGTTCCACTATGCTGAATGATATGTTTGCTTCAATGGGTGTATCCAGTAATAGTGGTTGGGATCCGGAGATAGGGATAAGTGGATAGGGCTAAAGATGCAAACGCCCTTCCCTTTTTCCCCTGCTTGGGGCTCTCACTAGCCCTCGGGCTCGAATTTCAAATTTGAGAGCTAACCCAAAAGCGTTTCCAAGTAGATGTGTGCGGCCGCACAATGAACAAAGCAAAAAGGTATATGCAGGGGTCTCAACGGTAGAAAGTTCCCAGTATGATGATAAATCCTAGGACTGTGCAAAATGAAGCAATCTGTTGTCTGGTCTTTTTACTCAGACTCTGCTGGATTGATGAGGATTCCGATGCAGGCTGGACTCTGACCAAATCCCGGCCGACTGGGCTCCGTCTCCGCACCTCGAAGCCCGGGCTAGACCATGCTTCTGCCACGGCTGATGTGCGGGATGAGCTTTGATGAATGTCCAGGGAAGTGGATAGCACACATAACCCTGACGCGTTTCCTCCCCACTCAGGGGCTTCTTCAGAGGGGTGTTTTTCAGGGGGTTCTTCAGAGGGGTGTACACCCCTCTGAAGAAGCCCCTGAGTGGGGAGGAAACGCCTCAGGATTTATCATCATACTGGGAACTTTCTACCGTTGAGACCCCTGCATATACCTTTTCGCTTTGTTCATTGTGCGGCCGCACACATCTACTTGGAAACGCTTTTGGGTTAGCTCTCAAATTTGAAATTCGAGCCCGAGGGCTAGTGAAAGCCCCAAGCAGGGGAAAAAGGGAAGGGCGTTTGCATCTTTAGCCCTATCCACTTATCCCTATCTCCGGATCCTAACCACTATTACTGGATACACCCATTGAAGCAAACATATCATTCAGCATAGTGGAACTCGAGCAGGACTGTCTCTTCCTGAGCTCCCTGAGCTACATGAGCTGTGAGTAACCTGGGATACATTGTATCCGTACATGATATACTTAGTAGGTGTCTGCCTAAACCTTTATATTATACCAGTTGGTTTGCAGACCACCCATGATTTCTAAACTACTGCTTACCCTAGTGAAGTTTTTTAATTGTTTTTAACTGTCTTGTTGTGGATGTATTGTTCAAGTTTTTCTACGATTAAATATTCAAATTGTTAAATTACTTATTTTCTACCTCTTTACTGAACCAGCTCCGAGTAAGGGATTTCTATTATCTTGGGGACACTTCATATTTTGAAAAGTATTCTAATCCCTCTCCACTTTATCCAAAACTAAAACAAAAGTTTTAGCTTCATTTGCACTTTAATGTCTGGAAACTTGTTCTGGGTTATTCAAAAAGTAGGAAACACACAGGTAGGCATGATGACCAAGAAGAATTGAAATGTATCACACACATATTTACAGCAATCATCAAAGCACAGTGAACCAGAAACAAATTTTGCAGAACACAAAAATCCTGTGACTTGGATAATGATTGATGTGAAAGTTACAGCATAATTTATATATGGGCTACCAATTTCCAAACAATTTAGAATCCTTGGATATAACAATAGTTGCCTCCTGACTTCGACCACCATCTCCTGGAAATATAACATTGTTCATATAAAAATGAAGTGACCCTGGTATTTCCTTTCTGCTGCTTCTCTTGGTAATCCGCATTCGCCCCATAAACCCCACCTCACCCCAACTCCACCATAACTCGCCCTCGCCGAATATTCCTCTCACTCAACACTTTTTCACCTGTTACAGATTAACTGTTAACATAAGCAGATTCATGCAGAACCAACCAATTTAAACTGGATACATTTAACCACATCTTATACCATCAGACAACTTCTTATTACCTATAATTCATGTAACACTGAACAGCATGAGAAATATTACTGTTGTAATTAATCCAAGTATAATGATTGTCCTTATATCATGATCAAAATAATAAAAATCTATTGATCAAGAAAACAAAAACAACATGCCAATGTACAATTGTCCAAGAATACAGCACTAGAGCACCATGATATTAGCAATTCCCTGCAATATATCAAATTTGTTATGAATTTTACCACCAAAGAACACAACCGACCCTCTTTCACTTATACTACAGCCAGACACAGCACTCACCTCTTTTTTCCCCAGTGTAAGGCACCAGGTCTTCCTTATCTTTCATTTCTTTAGCTTCAGTCTCTAGGTGTTCTAGAAGGGCGTCTCTCTGGAAAGGTCCTGTTGACGTTTTGCTGGTCTGATTCTTTTGTCTTAAACCAGCAGGTAATAACAGGTTCTATAAAGAAAGTTACAAATGACATTACACATACTAGAAAATCACCATTAACATTATAGTCTTGGAATTCTGGAATCCCGAGATCAGTTTTCAGCACAGGCCAAAGAGATTTCAGGTGACATATTTGGTCTTGGAGACCAAAGGGTTAACTGCTAACCTGATCATCGGTCTCACGGTAGTCAGTGCTCTCCTCTCTCTCCCTCTACTCCTGCTGTGGTAAGTCCCTTGGCATCCTCATGTCTTATGCAAGTCAATGGACTGTATCAGACAGGATGATGTCAGCAGGACTTAGACCGCCGGAGTCCGGGGGAGAAGAGGCTTTGCGGACCGTTCTAAGAGCCAGGAGGGTAGGGAGGATCGGGTGAGCATATATCTTTTTTTTTAGCCCCTAGAGAAAAACAAGAAGTTAACCATTGCAGTGTGGTGGTAGCCCCACTTTTTACATTCCTGGAAGTTCCTCTTTCACAGTGAATGATGGCCCTGGAATTATTTCTCTCGCCACAGCAACACCTACTATGCGTGGCACAATTGTCGTATTTTATACTCATACACACCTGGTGCACGCATTTGTGTTCATGTTGGGGTGCAGAGTTTTTACATTTTTATTTATTTTACTGAACTTTAGGTTTTGAAACTTTTTTAAACCTAACTGTATTGTTATCACAAGGGGGATGGTAAGACCCTATGTGATAGCATGGTTTTGGTGACGACCACAATGATGGTCCTGGACACCCAGGAGCTACAGATAAGCCTAGAATAAACGGTGCTGAGGAGTCCAGTGGGGAATGCCGCCCAAGAGTCGGTAATAGCAGGGCTTTACAGATGTCTGAATCACTACTACAATATGGCAGCCTGCAGAGAAAATGTAAACAAACTTCTGGTTGCTACAGCGGCCAGGAGGTTGTTTACATACTGGTGCTGCCTTCAACGCAATAGCTATGTTGGTAGTAACAAAACGGGTGAAGCACCTCTTTAGTAGTTAACTAATAGCTCCCAACTGTGCCGCATTTGGATGGACTGTCCCTCTTTTGCAGCCAAATCTCTAAGGCAGCCATAGTTGCCACCCAGGCTGGAATTTAAACATGTCTGCCTCTGTTGATCTCCATTACATGGTGGATTAATGGGACTAGTAGTTTACACAATAAATATGAAGAATGAATATTTGTGATTTGTTGTCACAGGAAGTGATAAGAACACAATTTTTGGCAAGTTCACCAGGTATTTTCTGTACCTACAAAAATTTTTCTTAGATTGAAAAACCAATGCAACCACCATTTTTTTTGTTTTTGGGTTTAGATATGCTTTAAGAAAGACTAGAATTTTCTGATGCAAACAGCAGAAATCAAGTATCATCATGAGAGAAAGTGGTACCCACATCAGGATCCAATTCTTCCAGTTCTCCTTCAAGAGCTCTTATTTCCTCCTCAGTAAGTTTGTTTAAAAGTTCATTCTCATCCACATCCCGGTACTTTTCTAATTCCTTATGGCGTAACATTTTATTTTGGATATTTGTACTTTTCCACCTGGAACGACAAAAGCATCGAGAAAAAAAATGACTGGAACAATGGATGAAACAAATCAATGAAATATTTGCAATATTTGAACTTTGAAAAATATATCACTTCAGACTTAATTTCCTGATAATCAGCCCTTGTATGTAGCAAACATGTTTTCCTAAGCAATGAGTTGCAATACTGAATGGGTGAAACGGAAAGTCTAATCCCAAATAATTACATCTAAACGTATGAATTCATTGCTGACCACTTTTGACATCCACCACATCATTTAGAGGTTGGGGTCTTCTACCCACTTTTTGGACCTGTCACATCTGGACAGATGCATATATGACCATATACAAGTTAAAAACTATGTGGAATAGGCCTTGGATCAAAATACATTTTCAGGGGGGAAAAGCATACATATATGTGTATGTGAGCGTTTGCTGATGATATAAAGTTATGCAGGGAAATAAGATCTGAACATGACTTAGAATCCCTGCAGTAAGACCTTGATACAATTGGAGAGTGGGCAGTGATGCGGCAGATGAGCTTTAATGAAGATAAATGTAATGTCATGCACTTGGGAGCTAAGAACATGCATGCTGAATACACAGTGGGAGGGGTTTCACCAGGGAAAACGGAGATGGAGAAGCATCTTGGGGTCCTTATGTGTCATAGACTGAGCAATAGTATGCAGTGCCAAGCTGCAGCTAATAAAGCTAGTACTATATTATCTTGCATCAAAAGAGGGATTTATTCACGGCATAGAAATATAATTTTGCCCCTTTTACAAAACACTGGTAAGGCTCCATCTTGAGTACGGGGTGCAACTTGGTCACCAATCCCCAGGAGGGATTTCCATGAGCTAGGAAAGGTTCAGAGAAGGGCAACCAAATGAATAAGGGGGATGGAGGGATTGAGATATCAAGAACATCTACACAAATTAGGATTTTTCTCCTTAAAGAAGAGGTGACATGATCACAGTTTACAAACTCATAAGTGGGGACTGCAGTATTGGGAACGCACTACTTAAACCAAGTACCGTGAGGAAGACATGAGGGCACAAGAAGTTGTAGGGGAAGAGGTATAATTGTAAACTGAGTAAGGGGTATTTTACTTTAAAAGTGGTAAAAGATGTGTAATTCACTTCCACAGATGGCTGCATCAACCAGAAAACATAAACTTCTTCAAAAAACACTTGGATGAGTTCCTCAGTTCACAAAACATAAAGGGTTATTGAAATTACGATAATCGTACCAACGCACGCACGCACGCACGCATGCGCACACACACGCACACACACACCATACGGGTTGCACCTGATGAACCTGATGAACCTGGGTCTTTATTCAACCTCACCTACTATGTAACTATATGGAGGACTCCACTGTTGAAAGAAAAACATAAAAAGGCCAAATTGCAATTTTCTAAAATACATATTAACACACCACAATGCATCTTGGACAATGTCCTTTGGACAGATGAGACAAAACTTGGTGCTTTTTGGCACATTGGCTCTATGTTCACAGATGAAAAAAATACAGCATTTAAACAACTGAACAACACACCTACTGTAAAACATAAAGGAAGATTGGTTTTGTTTTGGGGGTGCTCTGCTGCATCTAGAATGGGGTGCCTTGAATCTGTGCAGGGCACCATGAAATCTCAAGACTTTCAAGGAATTCTGGAACAAAACATATTGTCACACATCAGAAAAGTCTGTCTCAGTTGCAGGTCATTGGGAAAAAAACCCAAAACTCGCAGCTAAGATCACCCATGAATGGCTAAGAACAACACTGGAGTATGCTGAAGTGGTCTTTTATGAACCTTGCTCTGAATCCTATTGAACATCTAGGAAAAGAGCTGAAACGTACAGTCTTGAGAAGGTACACTTAAAGCCTGGAGATGGAGCAGTTTGCTCAAGAAAAGTGGGCCAAATTACCTGTTGTCAGGTACAGAAGTCTCATTGAGGGCTACAGAAATTGCCTGTTTGTTGTGATTGCCTCTAAAGGTTGTGCAACAAAATAATAGGTTAAAGGTCCTATCATTTTTTACTATGCCATTTCGTTCTTTTTTTCGCAGAAGAGTACCAACAAATTTGTCCATGTCTCGCGTCTATTTATAATACTGTTTATCTCAGGATGCTCACATTTACTGGCTGCAAAATATCTAAATATGTTCTAAATAGCAAACACTTCAAAACTTTGTTGAGAAGATTTTAGTAAGAGCTATGTTCATTTTGACCATAAAAGAACAGACAGCCAGAATCTAGTAGTAAGACAAATTCCCCTGCTTTTAGTACATCTGTAACACACATCCCAAGGCTCTATAGGATGAGGCTAGAACTCAGAATGAATGAACAGGAAGGATGCAGTCATAGTTTGGCCAATCATTTTCCACCCGGCTCATCTTAAAATTGGCTTATGTCAAGTCGGGTGGTGAACGCAGGGCTGTTCATGGCTCGAGTTTCCTGCTGAAATGGGCAAAATTCAAGCCACCTATGGCCAGCCTTAGTCAGTTCACAGTATATGTGAATCAAGTTACTAAAAATCTCAAATACAATTTTACAGTAGTTTTCTGTTACCATAACGGATGTCTGAATAACCACTATCCCTGCAAAGAAGAGCGTGAATACTCCTCTCTTGCTGCCCAGGCTGCCGAAGAGAAATCGCCAACTGAAGTCTCTTTAGAATCCAATACTAAGAAATCTTTGGTAGTCTTCAGATTTCATAATGCCATGCACACAGTCAACACATCCAGTGCACTGAAGCAGCAAAGCAACCCTAAAACATCAGTGAACCTCCACCAAGTTTGACTGTAGGGACAATTAAAGGCCTCATTTCTTTTTCTGAAAACAGTAGAATGATGGGCTTTACCGAAAAGCTGTAATTTTGTTTCGTCTGTCCGTAGCACATTCTCCCACAAGGATTTTGGCTTCCTCTGCTAAGTTTTGGCAAACTCAAATCTGGCTTTTTTATGTTTCTGTGTCAGAAGTGGGGTCCTCCTGGGTCTCCTACCATAGCATCTCTTTTCATTCAGATGGCGACATATAGTGCGAGCTGACACAGTTTACCCCGTGTCTGAAAATCAGCTTGAATTTGTCTGAAAGTTGATCGAGGGTCTTTATCCACTATTCAAACAATCCTTTGTTGCGATCTTTGATCAATTGTTCTCTTTCGTCCACGTCCAGGGAGATTAGCTACAGTGCCATGGGCAGTAAACTTCTTGACAATGTTGTGTACAGTGGACATAGGAACATTAAGATCTCTGGAGATGGACTTGTAACCTTGAGATTGTCCATGGTTTCCACAAAAACTTGAAATGCAATTATTTCTTGCAATTTGGAGAAGGTGCCAATAATTTTGTCCAGTCCATTTTTGGAGTTTTGCGTGGACTGTGTTAGATTTGGCTTTTTTCTCTCCACTTTTTTGTGTCATACCAATACAAACAAAATAAATGAACATGAGAATGCCTAAACAATTGTAATTGCAACAATTTGCTGCACAAAGTGATGCATTATCTGACAGAAATGCAAGGGTGCCAATATTTGTGGCCATGACCGTATATGCACATTTGCATACACATTTTTATCTTACAAACTGATCACACAGATTTACATAAATCGAAAAATATTTTATATACTGTATGTCTGGTGATATGGAATATTCAGGTTTAACGCATGTCACCCAATATGCACTGTATGGAATTTTAACATGTCAAATGTTATGCACTCAAGGCTCTTGACTGTTTTCCATCTGTTCAAAAGGCACTAGTCTTGTTAGCGCGGGGTGTAGTTTTCAACAGTGATTATGATGCCTCCCTTACAATGCTGCACCATCTTCTTTCAGCTAATAAAAGTAACACTTAGACGTTAGTCACAACTCTCCTTGACTCTGCTTACATTCTTGTCTGAGCTACGATAGCATTCAGCATAAGCATTACAGAATTCAGCCTTTCAATAAGCTTCTCCAACAGGCTGACATGTTATTCTACACATACAGAGGGCTGTTTTACAGGTCAGGACCTTCCGTAATGTGGGTCATGTGTCATCCTGTGACAGCACGTAAAGAGGTCACACAGAAGCAGCTTTAACCAAACATTTACATAAAAGAGTGTATTTTGGATCAGCTGCCTAGTGCCCAATCAGGTATTCACTATGCTCATAGATATACAATTATGATTACCTGATCTTGATGGGTAAGGTCCGATTGGAAGATTTTCTATAGGAACTCCATGACCTCTGCAGGTCTGTCCTGGGTGACTAATCCTTAGGGAATGATATCTGACAAGGGTGTAATTTTCAATCACAATCATTTTTATTAATTTCCAAACAAGCAAAATTACCCATGCAGCGTAACAAAAACAACAAACATAACGCAATGCTCTAGGTTCACATTAAAGAAGGAACTAAAAGAGAGGACACTAAACCACAGGTGGTCATCCAGGCTTTCTAGACTGAGGATGGCAGGTGGTCCCTCAGAATCCTTGAACAGGAGAAAAGAGAGGAGAGCCGAGAGGAGGAACAGAGGGAGATAAAAGCAGCAAAAGAGCATGCTGGAGAAAGAAAAGATCCCAGAGGGGGAAGAAGACAAGTGGGAAAGGGACGGGAAAAAGGAAGAAGGTACAAAAGAATAGGCTCCCCCTCCACCCCCATAGTGCATATACCATATTCAGCCACTTGTTTCCAAGAAAGTTTTGGACAGCTGATAACAGGACTGGAGGCGGTTGGGCATGTATTAACCAGGTAGAGGAGCAACATCACTTCTCTTTTTATCTCAGAGGTGCTTTGAACATACAACGTGCAGTATGTAATACATTGTAAGTAATAACATACAGCAAATGGGCTATAAGAAGAAAATGTTAAAAGCTGCACAGGCACCTTAATGATATGTATAGTTCTAGCAATGCCTATGTAGTGTTGAGAAATGGCAATTGTATCACATAAAGCAGCAGGGAAAGAGATGCAAAGCACACTTGGGATCCAGGAAGTTGATGA